TTTATAGCTGTGTAATATTTCACTGAGCCGTTCTGCCATAAGTTACATGTCCTTATTGTTGAACTTTCCCTTTTCACCATTATGAATAATGCTGCATGACATACTGTGCCTAGAAATTTTTGTATCTGTGATCATTTCCTTAAGATAGGAATTGCCAAGCAGATTTTGAAACTAACTATACTCTTTTGCCCGACCACTGAAGCACATGAATCTTCTTGCCTACATTTGCGTCAGTGCTTGGCATTATCCGTCCTTCACGTTAGCGGCCCTGGTGGGTGTGCTGTAGCATTTCATCCTAGATTTGATTTGCATTTCTTCCTAATGACTAATGAAGTTGACAGCTTCCTCTGGTGCTTAGTGGACATTTGGAGATCCTCTTTCTGAAGAGCTTATTCAGCCTGTTTTGGGGGTTGGATTTTATTTTTCCTTTTGACATCTGAGAGTTCTTTGTATGCTTTGGAAATGAGCCCTTTGACAGTTATGCGAGTCTCGAATATCCTTGCCCACTCTGTGGTTTGTCTTTTGTGCTCACAAAGCTGGCTTTTGGTGAACAGAAGGTTTGAATATTCGTATAGTCAGACTCATCATTCGTCTTCTCTCCGATGAGGTGTTTCTGTGTTCTGTGTAGGAGGCTCTTCCTCTCTCCCATGCCAGTTTCTGGAAGCCTCATTGTTCTCTGTTCCACTCGAAGTCCTGCAGTCCACCTGGGACTAACTCTATGTATGTTGTGACGTAAAGATCTTTTTTTTTTTTTTAAATCATCAGATAGATGGGAAGATTGAGCCAGCCATTTGATAGAAATAACTCCCTGCAGGGCATCCCAAATCAGCTTCTGGGGTCTGAGGGTACTTTCCCACATCCGCTGGATGTTTCTGGCTGACTCCTCGGGCTGCTTCCTCCTGACTTCTCTCCCAGGGCCGGGCCCCAGGTACTGATGTTCTTAGCTATCTTTTGTCTTGAGCTTCTACTTATAACACCAGCAGTTACCTCTCCAACAAAACGCATGCCGTGTCACACATTTAACATTCAGATTTTGTCTCTGGGCATCAAAAAGTGACTGACGGGACCCGCTTCTTGATGGTGATATGCTCTGCATTATTTATTAAACCCGTGTTAACTCAAATAATTTTAAGCCCTTGTTTTTAGCTATTAGTTATTTCTTCCTCCTTCTAAACTTTTATCAGAACTATCTGAGAATAGAAAGCAAGACTAACACGCGCGCGCACGCACACACACACACACACGTATATATTTCCTTCTTGTGACCCCTTTCCCTGTGTGCTTTGGTAAAGGAGGTTTACAATCAATAAAATTATCAGAAGTAAAAGAGACCGGGAAAGTTGTGACTAGTCAACGGAATGGAAGATTTGACTAATCCACAAAGCAATTAACCTCTTTTTAAGTAATCTGAAGCCAGCCTAGAGAGTGGATTAGGAGTGCCAAGGAGGGTTTATTTTAGGAAACTGACTTTAAAATAACCCATTTTCCCTTCCTATATCTGTATCCTCTGACTTTGCTTTTGCATTCCCTTAGCCTCCGTCTCTTCCCATATCCTGAGATGAGTTTTCAGAAAAGAAACTTCATCAAAAAGTTTATCCTGAGTTTGCTACAATTAAAAAAATAATCAGGAGCAATATAAAGAAAGCTCAACTTGACCCAGAACGCTCTGCAGGGAAGCCGGACCAGCTCCTAGCTGCATGAGCGGGTGTGAGCACGCTCCTCCTTGCTAATGGTCAGCTAAACTGTTTAGACATCTCAATGGCTGCACACCGTCCACTGCACCTGGCTGATAAGTGTGCAAATGTTCTGGAGAAAATTCCTTTAATTTCTTATTATGAACCAAGAGCAGCTCATTTTGTAAAAGAAAATTGCTGCTCGAAGTTCTTGGCCACTCAAGGAGTTCACCAGCATCGACTTCTACAGAAACCAGGGCTCTCAGTTCTTTGAGAGACAGCAGAACAGAACGCAGCTGTGTGACTGCTGGGGCCGCAGTACGGCCATTTATGAAGCCATTTTCCCTTTTATTTTCTCCCACAAACCACCCAGTGATGTTATGAAGACGGGGATATTATGTTTTCAGAAGAAGGAGGCAGAGGCTCAGGGATTTCAAGGACGAGGGCCCAGAGGCACTGAGCGCGCAGGCTGGTAATGAGAACCGCTCCCGTTTATTGAGCGCTCAGTGTTTTCTGAGAACTTTTCTAAGTGCTCTGCACATATTAAATTTTTAAATGTTCACATTAGTCCTGCGAGGGAGTGCTATTCTTATCTACATTTCACCCGTGGGGACGCTGAGGCATGAGGAGGCGAAGGAAGTATTCAGGATCCTAGTAAAAGTGCGGAACCTGAAGTCCCAGGAGCCCAGGCTGTGCCCTTCCCAGGGGGGCTTCACCCCAGAGCTGGGTGCCAGGGCTCCTGCTCCTTCACAGCAGCGGGTGCCATCCTATGGCTAGTGCATGGGATCCAGAGCTGACTGCACAGGCTGGGCCCAGCTGGTTGCTGTGTTTCTGCTCCTCGCTTAGCAGAGGTGGGGTGGACTCGCCTCTGGATTCCAGGGATTCTAGTGGAAATCCAGCTCGGCTTCCCCATCTCCTTTTTGTGTCCACTGTTAACCAAGGGCAGTCTTGTCCTGCTCCCAGATCCCCTCTTACACCTCTTGATGGTCACCCACACGTCCTTGACCCTGACCTGTCACAGCCCACCACATGGAAAGGCGCACTGTAGCTCGTCCCGTGACGCGCGCGTCTTTCCCACTGCACAGGGACTTCCTCGCCAGCTCCCAGTTCTCTCGTGTTTGCCGGGAGAGCGTCTGTCTTGTCTTCCCAGACCTCAGGCTCAGGCTTTGCAGAGACGCCTCCGTGTCCTGGAGTTCCGTGTGTTTGTGAACCTTGGCCGGGAGTCTCATCCTGTCCCATGGTCACCTGTCCAGTGACTGTGCTTTGTGGAGTTTTGTTCCCTTGTAGGTAACGTCTCCCCAGTTTTTTGCTCTTGTACAATTTCGTACTTGCTCTTGGTTTTTGGATAATAGACATTTTAAGACGGGTGTATCATACGCCCCACACAACAGGTGGTTTTTTTAGCACTACATTTAATGTGTAGGTTAATTTGAGGTGAGTTAAGATTGTTTTTTCAATTTCGAATCTATTCATGAATGCAATATCTATCTCCACTTACTGTGATTTCCATTTATCTTTAAACAGAGTAATTTTATACATATTTTGTTGAATTTCTAAGAATCTTATATTATGTGTTGCTATCGTGAATAAGTTCATTTTTGCTTTTGTTATGTTTTCTGTATGATTTTACTGGTTTACAATGTTTCTCAATTTTTAATGTTCATTTTGTATACAAGGTCCGTATTAAACTCTTCCTAATTCTTTTGATTTTTAGATTCTCTTGATTGTCTGTGTAGATAACATATACTAATATGAGCTTCAAAGTTTTTATTTCTAGTTCAACTTTGTTACTACTATTATTATTATCTTAGTTCATTGGTTAGCACTTTTCATACAAAGTTGGAAATATTGTGTTTTATCCATAATGTTACCATAATTTTTTGTATTAAAATCGTACATTTGAAATGTAGTGGAGGATAGAAGAGTATACCAATCTGCCTCTCAAAATTTCCCAACCTCTAGTGGGAAGTACCATGAAGATGTTGTGGATTTCTTCCTGTTTTCCAAGTTCCTGTGGCTGTATCTGTTCCCATATATATGCATTCACACAGATTGCAAGATACATAGAATATTTATACACATGAAACTCTACCCTTTTTTATTCCCACTGAAATTTAGCACATTTAGAGAATTTCTTCATTCTTTTTACAGCTGAGTAATGCACCATGGTGTGGGTGTACCATTTACCTGTTAGTGCACTTTTACTTTTTTGTATCTGCAAACAACACTGAGACAAACTAGCCTGAATTAATGGGCAAATTAAATGCAATGCCAATCACTTCATGTATTTCCAGATTTATGTTTTACGGAAATGTATTCCTAAAAGTGAAGCCTTTGAGTAAAACGAGAACCTTGTACTTTCACAACTTTGTGTATGGGAAACAAGTCCTGCACTATGGCAGGGCGGCCACTGTGGTGGACCTTCCTGTGCTCTGTGCCCACTCTGGTCAATTCACGGTCCATCTAGTGGCAGGTATACCTGTTCCCCTCCACAACTGGAATATGTGCAAGTGTTTTAATGTTTATCTAAAAAAGACAGTTTGTTTTTAGATGCATAAACACAGTACCATTATCACATCTATAAAATTAACAGCATTCCTTAGTAGTTCCAAATAGCCCGTCAGTGTTCACATTTCTGGTGGTCCTAATTTTATTTACACTTTTTTTTAAAATCTGGATCTAAATAAAGTCTGTGTATTGAGTCAGTTACCCTGTCTCTTAGATTTCTATGAACCCACAGATTCCCCCGCCTCTGTCCATTTTTTCAATTTGTTAAGAATGTGCTACAGAACTTCCCATTGTTTCAATTTGTTAATCTCATTGTTTTCTCTTATTCTCTGCATGTCCTATAAGTTGTAATTAGATGTCAAACTGCACTGTCCCATAAATGGACATGGGCCCTATGTGATTATTTTAAGCTACATAGCTCAGTTGGTAGGGTTCTTGCCTCCCGTGTACAAGGCCCCGGGTTCTAATCACCAGGAACACACACACACAAACACACACACAGCCTGAAACTTTAGTTCCTCAGTTGCACCAGCAACATTTCAGAAACTTATTGGCCATTTGTAGCTCGTGGCTACCACCCAGGACAGCACAGATGAGATTCCCGTTGTTACAGGGAATTCTGTCGCTGCACAGCGCTGGTTGGGAGGCTTGCTTGGTTGGGTTGATCCATGTCCTCCCTCCCTTTCCTTCAGGAGGATCCTAACTTCTGGTTGTCCTTATATGATTTTAGCAGCCATGGGTGATCATTACTCAACTGCACTATTCAATTGGGATTTCCAAATAACGATGCCCGTGTTCTGAAACTTCTCCTTTTTCCAGAATCCTGTTTCCGAGTCCCCTCCGTGTGGCCTGGAGCAGCAGCAGCAGGCTCCTCCCGAGAAGATGGCTGGATGGATGTCACAGGCCCGCGTGCCACTGTACATGGAGCCTTCCCCACGGTGGGTCCTTGTGTTTTCCGTTTGTGCCATCAGCAGTGCTGTTAGGGACACCCTCCTCCGTGTGTGCCAGCGGTGCCCACATTGATGCTCCTCCACTCTGGGGCACCCACCTCGGCGTGACCCAGCCTGGGATGGGGGCTGTGTCCCTAGAGCCATGGCTCGTGGCTACCGCCCAGGACAGCACAGATCAGGTTCCCGACCCCGGCTCGCACTCTGGTTCCCCCAGCCTGTGGCTCGGCCTCTCCTGCCAGAGGGCATTTCTGGGCCATGAGGATGTCGATGGGGGCTGTGTCTTGGGATTTCTCCTTTAGTCTGTGCAGTGGTTTGGGGACCATGGCGTACGTCACTTGTGATCTCAAGCCACTGTCATGAAGTGAAGGTGGCATCATTGTGTGTTTGGTTTGGTGATCAGAATGGAGACCTTGCTGGAATTCTAGATGGAATCCGCTGCTTGATGAGGTGGCTTGGCTGTTTATTTATTTATTTCACCACTTGTCATGGTGGGTGTGACGCTCAGGGAAGCAGCTTTCTGTTCTGAGTTTAATGTACATCAGTGATTGTCATCAAAAGTGATTCCCCTGTGGGGGGCGGGGGGGTACTTGCCAGTGTCCAGAGATGCTTTTGTTTGTGGGGATTAGAGGTTGAAGATACCACTGGCCTCCAGGGGGCTGAGGCCATGAGTGTGGCCAGACTTTCCACAGGACGGTCCCCAGCACAGGCCCCAGCACAGCAAAGAATTATTGGGCTTGGTGTGTTCACAGTGGTCAGATACAAAGAAAGAATCATGGAAATCAAAAACCTCACTACCATGTGGAGGACACCCTCCCGAAAGGGAGAATTTGGAGGTTGAATGTGTCAATGACGGTAGGAGCGGGTCCTGGTGCGTTTGAAGGTGATGGGTCGGGGTGTTCTGCAAGCCCACACACACGTTTGGAAAGTCGTATCGTGAGACACGAAGGATGGGTCATCAGGAAGTAGCATGTACCGACAGGCCCGGTGCCGTGGAAACCACCTGCTTTAATTTCTGTTCCTATCTATGAATAGAACTTGGTCACTGCTTTGGGTCTGCTTCCTGTCCCGGGCCTTTGGAATGGCCTGCTCCCAGCCACCACCGTCCTTGGTGAGGAAGGAAAGGAGAGGGAGTCCCAGGCTCCCCAGGAACAGTGGAGGCAGGAGCTGGTCTCAGTTATGGAACTTTGGAGTAGAACCAGACACACCTCCTACCCCTGCAAGAGGGCTGGCTCATCAGGGATTCCCACAGGCAGCTCTGGGCCCTGCTGGGTCCAGGTCTCCCCGCCCAGGAACTGCTGAAACCTGTGTGGGCTCTGACAAAGGGAGCAAGGGAGGGGCGGGAGGAGGGAGGCAGATAACAGCCCAATGTAATCAGCATTTTATTACCGTCCTCAGGAAGTAGGAATAGGAAAAAAAGTAGGTTGGAGCAAGGAAAGTTAATTATGTGAGGTTATTTGACAGGAAATTACTAAATACAAACAGACAGAAGAAACACATTTTAAAGCAGGCTAGGAAATCTCAAGTTACTCTGCTGTGTGCATTCAAAACCCCCAAAGCAAATTCTGAAAATAGCAGTTTAAACAAAAGCTATCTTATCTGATAAAAGTATTTCAAACACAAAGGGAAATTTATATATTGGGCAGGCAATCTTAAAATAAGCCGATTTTGTTGATAGCACTGCAAATTTAATTGTGGGAAAACCCCTTCAGATATCTGAATTTATCTTGTAAATGTTTTGAATTTATTTTGAATCCGGCATTTCAGTTCTATGAAGGTGTGTTTGTGTGCTTCCACTCTGGAAAATGAGGTATAGCTGAAGTAAAATGAAAAGTACTTGTGTTGGTATTTCTTTTCAGTATGATTTCAGAATTCATTGTGAGTTCAGTATGAATCTTGTTTTTCAGAAGAATGTTGTATCAATAACAGAAGAACTGAGAAAGTGTTATCTAAGATACTGATTTCCAGAGGTCATATATTTAAAGCCTTTTAATTATTCTGTAAATGATCAACTTAATCTCATTTATTAAGTTGCAACAGTTGGCAAAATTTGCAAAACTTCTGTGCATTAGCCAAACATATTTGGTAGTGTTTTTCTTTACAAAGCTAAGGGATTAAAGAGCAGGACCTTCTCCTGCTACTGAATGGTCACTGCTAGAGCAGAGAAAAGTCTGGCCAGAGTGGCTATCGAAGAATCTGGCACTCATAATTAAGGCTGTCATCCTTGGAAAAATAAGTATGCACACATATACATGCAGGTATACATAGTCATATATGACTTTTCCACAGAAAAAATATCTCTAGATATTTATAGTGGGATTCTTTAAGGACATGTTCTTGGACAGTTGAAATATTGAAAAGTCATATAAAAATTGGGTGGCTGTGAAATTGCCTCCAACTTCCGTTGGAGTTCAAAGAAAAAGCAGTATTTTGAAAACAAATGGAGCTCAAAGTCTGCATTCCTTTTCAAAGGCCAACACCTGTGAAAGGCATGCAGGTTGATTCCACTTGACCTTCCACTGTGGAGCTGGGGGGGGGGGGCAGGGGGGCACTTCAGGGCTGAGGGTGGCTGAGGAGGACCCTCCTCCACAGCCTGGAAGGGGAACAGTTAGGAGCAGTCAGGAGTGCATCCTGCCTCTTGCTCTGTATGCCCTGAAGTCACGGGGTGATGGATAGACAGCTGCAGAGACATGCAATAAGCCACAACCCCTCTGAGCAACCAGGCTTACAGTGTTGCAGATCCTGGGAAACCCCGGGCAGACAGTGTCAGCAACTGAGTCCTGGTGTGAGAGAAAGGCATCCTGGATGCTCCAGACAACAGATCCTCATGGTGCATTAATAATTTTTTAGGCCGGAATTCGTTGCCTTGAGTGGTTTTCCTCTCCTTTAGCCACTCACTGTAGTTCAGCAGTTTACTGTGGTGTCTGAGGAGCTAAATGTACAATTCAACATCAGGATGAAAGTTAGAATATTCTTTTGAAACTAAGAATGCATTCGTCTATGCACCTTTCGATGGGAAAGCTCGCGGTCTGGCCTCTCTTCCCTCCGTCGTCCTTAATTCTTTATCCCTTCATGCAACAAGTCTTCCCTGATTGCCTGTTAGGGGCCAGGAAGGAGGGTCAAAGCTGAGGACTCAGCGCTGGGCCACACGGATGTGGTGCCTCCTGGTTAGAGCTTACGGTTTACTGTCATGTGGTCACACCTGCCCTACATCCTAGCTCTGTGATGTCGGGCCAGTGACAGTTCCTCTCTTCCTTAAAGTTTATTTCTTTATTGTGTACGTTAAAGGGTTCCTCCACACGAGCCATAAGATCCCGTTCAGTGCAGATTTCTTCTGGAGATAGACTTTTTCAGGCATTTTGATCTCTGTGACCTCGCCAACTGTTCCAGGTAGTGTGGGGACTGAGTCCGTCAGCCTCCATGTCTATATGCAGATTGGAGTGCTGCTTTGATTTCCAGACCAGACTTACCTTCTGTGTATCTCCAACCTGTCCCGCTAGCGGACACACAACGCGATTTCTGAAGACTTGGGCTACTGTAGAGCGGGGGCCTGGGTTCCATCCATACTGGAGACGTTTCAGTCAGCGCTGATGGTCTTCGGTCCCAGGAGAGCCTGGTTCCTGTTGTCCCTTACTGAGCCACCCGGCCAGGCAGAGCTGGCAGACAAACCACGCTCCAGGCGGGACAACAGAGAGCGGTTTCACACAGTCTAACGCCACTGGTGATGTCAGTGAGCTCAGCCTTGGCCTGTGTCATCTGTTTGTGTAAATAAAGTTTTATAGGAACAGCCGGGTCCATCAGTGGATGCACTTGGTGTTTGCAGCTGCTCTGGAGCTTCAGGGCACATCGGGCAGCTAGGACAGGGACTGTCTGTCCCTTAACAGGGAGAATTGGCTGAACCGGGGTTATAGGACGCATCGGCAGAACTCGGGGCTCCCTTCTCTAGATTTTAAGGTGTGTGGGCTGCTTCAGGAAGAACAGTTTTTCTGTGTTCTTTGCAATATGCCTCTGAGGGTTGAGCCTGCCTCTGTGACTTTGGATTCCATGCTGTGGAGAGAGCAGAATTTGATTGTTATCTGTTTGGAGGACTCGGTTTCCACGGCTGGAGTCATCAGTATCTGGCCTAACCCTAAGTTGTCTTTGAAGCGTCTTTATTCTGTTAAATATGGATCCTTTTCCTCTGCACTTCTGTGATGAGGAAGGATCAGACCAAACTCCAAGCTGCAGAAGCCCTCAGGGCACATTTCCTACCATTTCCTTCTATTTTCCTGTGGTTGGGTGCTCGGCATCTACAGCAGGGTTGAAGTCAAGTGGGGGAAGTTCTGACATTGGCTGGACCCAGGCAGCAAGCTTAAAGGCAACGTCATCGGACTAGGACGGCCAAGGACAGCAGGCCCAGCGACCAGGGGAGGGCACGGGGAGAGCAGGAGTCTATCCTGGGCATCTCCCAGGGCTGTGAATGGGTTTGTGTACCAGGGTCAGTGTCCCTGTGAAGGTTTTAAAAGTGAGGGGTTACTCAGTTACTCAGGAAAGACTCATTAAAACAGAGTATGTCAAAATCGGGGGGAAATAAAGAAGTTTAGGAGCAAATCAGGGCTACTTTTATAGGTTCGGAAGTGCCTACTAAGACCCAGTGCTAGCATAGAATGATTTCTGATTGAATGTAGGTTCCTTTGATGTGTCAACTCTTTGGAATTCAAAGTGGACCCATGAAAAACTGATGTGTGTGACTTGAGGCTGCATGTTCACAGCCAAACTGCTGGAGAGTCCATTGACTTCATCCACATGAAACACCTACTGTGTGCCAGATGTTGGGCTGTGGTCAGGGGACTGAGTTCCTGCCTCTGAGGGGCCCCTGGGAGTGACCTCCCCCCAAGACAGATGTGCAGGGGAACACGGTGTGAAGGGGCACATTTTGGGGAGAGAGTAGAAAAGGCCACTCAGAAAGGGTCCCCGTGAAAGGACCCTGCCTCTTCTAGCTGCTGTAGTGT